TAGAATTTTGGTAAATACACTTTGCCAAGTTAAGGAACTTATTTTTCTATTGCTATTTACTAAGAGTTTTCTCTTAAATAGTGAATTAATATTATTATTATCATATTTAAAAAAATCTATTAAGACATGTTTTTTATCTTTTAATCTGTTGGTGTGATAAATTATATTTACACATTTCTATTGCTAAATCACCTTGTATTCCTGGGTTAAATCCAACTTAGTACTGTATTCTCCTTTTACATATGACTGGATTATTTAAGATTGTTTTACCTATTTTCATGAGTGTATTGGCCTGCAATTTACCTTTCTTACATTGCCCTTGTCTGATTTTCTACTTGGGAAGTGTTTTCTTTTTCCTTTCTCTCTCCTTCTTATTTTTTAATTTCCAAAAGAGTTTGTATAAGATTGGAGTGATGCATTACTTGGAAGTTTAATAGAACTTGACTATAAAGCCATCTTGGGCTGGTATATTATGAACAATTCAGATTTTTTACTTCTGAGTCAAATTTAATATCTTTTTAAGAATGTGTCCATTTTTGTCCAAATGTTTGAATACATAGCTCTATCTGTAGTTATGTTCCCTTTTCCCAACCCTAGCATCATTTCTTGTGCCTTCTTTCTTATTTTTCCTTCATTGGTTTCACCAAAGGATTCTCTATTTTATCAGTTTTTTCAAAGAACAAACTTTTGAGTTATTGATGATCTCTGTTGCTCTTTTCAGCTGAGCAGTATACAGCACGCAAGCTTTGGAGCCAGACTGCTTAGATTTGAGACCCTGTTCTATCTCTTACCTGAGAAACCTTGGGAAATTAAATTTGGACAGGACACTATGCCTCAGTTTCTTCACCTACATACATGAAGATTAGATAAGATAATATGTGGAAACTATTTAGAACAGAAAGTATTTGAACAGTAAGTGTTCAATAAAATGTTTCTGTTATTATGAGCTATAAACAGGATGTTAGAGTATGTTAAGAGACTGTGGCTTTTTTGTTTCATGTATCTTTCCAATGAGGCTCAGAATTTATTTAAAAATGAAACAAGCTAGCAGCATTATTACTTTGACTGATGGCTCTTCTATGGGGTTAACTTGGCTGCTGGAATTGCAGGCTCTTCCAGATCCTAAATTTATTATCAAGATCCAGCATTCGGGATTTGCTCTAAGGTGTAGGGTTGGCTTATAGGTAAAGAGGGCACAGAAAGATAGAGAAGGAATCCAGCTTCCCCTGTGAGAGCTATACTTCTTCAAATTTTTATTTCTTAGACCACATTTCTTAGTCCACTTTTAACAGCAAAAAAGAAACAAAATAGATAAATAACAAAAATTATGGAAAAGTTGTGTGTTATGTTACATAAAAACAAAAAATTACATATGTAAATTATAATTATGTAACCTAAACATGACTGTGTACAACTGGGAGACAATGTGCAGAAATAAAATCAGTGTAATGGGGTAGTGAGATTATGAATGATTTTAAATTAAAAAAATATTTTATGGTCATACCTTCTTTTCAATAAAAAATTATTAGAGCCTGATATTTTCTTGGTCAAAAGACATGTAAAATGGTACTACTGCTATTAATATCAACAGATAACATTTACTTATTGCTCATATGTGCCAGGCACTTTTCTAAGTGCTTTACATGCAAGTTGTATTTAATCCTCATAGAAACCCTGTGACGTAGCTACTATTACTAGCTCTATTTTATAATTGAGAAAATTGTGGAATAAGGAGTTTAAACAACTTGTTCAAGTTCATACTGTTCTTAAGTAAAAGTCCAACTGGATGGATAAATAAACAGTGATGAATTTATACATTGGAATACCTCACAGCTATTAAAAGGTATGGGTTAGATTTTTATGTGCTAATATGGATAAAAATATTGGGTAAACATTTAAATAAAAAACATAAAAATGCAGAGCAGTGGGTACTGTATAGTCCCATTTTAGTAAAAGGAGATAATGTCAATAACAATAATGTTACTTATATGTCCAGATCCACACATGTGTAGGGAAAACAATTCAGTAGAATGTGTCCTATACTGCTGACGGAACAACACATAGCAGAATAAAGAAATTAATTATGAGGAAAGCACAGGGAAAGTAGGAAGATTTCAAGCCATGAATCATATGTACACTTAACCCACAAAGAGGAATTAGAAGCAATTTATGGGATGATGTATTATTTATTAGCAAATAAGAAGTTACTGGAAGAATCATCAGCAGTGACACAAGATAGAAAGCCGCTTTCCTGCATTTAAAAGCTCTTTCATACAACTCTAGCCACTAACAATTCTAAATAAAGGCATCAGGCTGCCTCAGAGTACTCTGAGCTCTGTGCATTAGAGATACAGTAAGTTCTTTCTGTGTACAGTTACTGAAGGGAGAAAAGGGCATAGTCTGTGCCTGATTTATTCATGGCCAAACAGAAGGAAAAAGAGCCTCTTGCTCACAGATTCAGTTTGAGGGCCCACTGGGAAGAACTATGAATGGAGGATGGGGAACTATGAGTGCCTCACCTGGGTCATGGCTCACTCTGTGACCAGGAAGGTGGATGTGTTACTAGAGATAAGGGATGCAGGGGATGCTGGGCAGACCAAGAACAGCCTCCACAGGTATCACTGTCATCAATTCATTCAACAGGTATCTACTGATAATCTAGTATATGCTACACACTGGGACAAGGAAATGAGTAAGATGAATTTCAAATCCCAAGGTACTTACAGTTTAATACAGAGAGAAAAGATATCAAGTATTTTACAATTTTAGGTGAGAAAGCAAAATTATCATACTATAAAGCAGTGGTAAACAATTTTACATGGTATATAATTAAGTGCTGAAGTGTGTGGTGCAGACCACAAGTGATGTGGTTGTTCTAAGGAAAGAAAAATCAATACAGTAGTCACAAACCTGAATCAGGCCTTAAAGGATGGGGAGGATTTGGCTGGAAGAAGATAGGGGAAGGAATTCAGAGGAAAGAAGAAGGAATTCAGAGGAAAAGGCTACTGTGAGTGGCGGATGGAGAGAGAAAGAGGAGCAGTCAGTAAGGAGGCTGACTGAGGAAAGCAGAGTGTGTGCAGTAGGGGAGAGCTCATAAACCTCACAGCTAAGGCTGGTTGCCCACCCTCCCTGCCTGACCAGAACAATGCCAGGGCCTCATGATGCTGGAAGGATCTACATGTGTCAGAATCTGACGGGAAACACACCCCTAGTTATCAACCCCCTGACTAATTAGAGGGTGAAGGGCAGAGTGCAGTTATCCATGTGGGACCAGGAAGAGATCAACAGTATCAAAACAGTGGGCACCTCCGCATGTGCAAAACCTTGGAGAAGGCCAATAGAGCCAGAAAGGATTGCTGGAGGGTGAACCGTAACTTGACTGTTGAACAAATTAAAACTAGTTAAAAACCTCTTAAACTCCTTAATATGGGAATCTCTACCTGACCCCTGACTAAAATATTTTCATAAATTTCCATTGCCTTGTCTGAGTGCTATGCCTTATGATGGATTTAGGGCATATATGGCCCTTTACAACCTCACTGCACCTCTGCCTGATAAGTCTCCAGTCATAGGGGACCATGGTCATGTCTCTGAAAGTTTGATTCATCTTGCTTTCTCATGCCCCCGGGTTCCGTGTTTGAGTGCCTTTTTCTTCTTCTTCTGCTTGGCTAATTCCTACTTGTCCTTGAAGACTCAGTTTGAAGATTTTTTTCTTTTGGAAGTGTAAGATAATGGGTGGTTTATGCATGATTTATTGGCAGGGACCTGGACACCAGTGGTTTCTGGGTAGGGGTGGGAAGATTGGGGACACCACGGCTGGGAAGCTAATGACTGAGAACCTATTCTGGGGGCTGGGAGGGACACGGAGATGGTGTGTGTGAGCCAAAACTCTAATCCCATGGCATATGCTTCAATGTTCCATCAAGCTTCACTTACAAATCACAAATTCAAAGATCAAAATTATTAAGAATGTCAACACAGGAAACTAAGAGCATTAGTCCTAAGCATAGGGCTTTTATGAATGCAGGGCCCTGTGTGGCTGCGTTGGTTATAAAGCCATGAAGCCAGCCCTGCGTAAAAGTCTGTTCATACAGCATTGATTAATAGCAAAATGTAATAAAACAAATTGTTTCACTAATAAGCGATTGAATAAATAAATTATGGTCTAACCACACAGTAAAAAAGTCATGTAGCCAATAAACAATGAGACAGATCATCTTCCAGATACTAACATAGATAGTTGACTAAAACACTAAGAAAGTTACAGAATAATATGTATGTAATTATCCCATTAAAATGTTAAATACAGTTGGCCCTCCATATCTGTGCATTCTGTGTTGGTGGAGTCAACCAAGTGGATCGAAAATATTTGAGGGGAAAAAAAGTTACGTTGTTGCTGATATCTTATGTAGTTAGGCCTACTATGGTTTCATCTATACTGAGCATGTGTAGATTTTTCTTTATGATCATTATTCCCTAAACAATACAGCATAACAACTATTTACATAGCATTTACATTGTATTAGGTATTATAAGTAATTTAGAGATGATGTAAATTATGCTGGTGGATGTGCATAGGTTATATGCAAATATACACCACTTTATATACGGAACTTGAGTATCAACAGGTTTTGGTATATGTGGGGATTTTGGAACCAATCCTTTGCAGATACCAAGGTGTGTGTGTATATATATATGAATGACTAGCTAAAAGAACGTTGGGAGGGATACCTGAATCTCTTAAATGATGAGGAGGAAGAAATTTTTACATCTATAATATTTCAGGCTTTACATGAACATATATTGTTTCTGAAATTAAAAATATGATTAAAAAATTCAACTCTAACACCTAGAAACACTTGTCTGACCCACAGTAGAATCTGTTAGCTTCATTTCATTTACGAACATAAAGAGACCATGAAAAATAACCTTCCTGACCTGTAAAACACTACTCATTAAAATTCTTACCATTCTTTTTACCTTTCCATTTAATTCTTTACCTTCATTGCTGGGCTCTTCAATAGGGGATGCTGAGTCCATACACTCTAGGGCTCCCTTTGTGATCTCGACCACCTGAAGCCTCCTGACCTGGACTAGGTCTATGTCTTTCAATCCGCTCTCCAATTGTTTGACCACCTCTTTTCCGGGCTGGGAAGTCAGAACAGTAATCTGGAAATAAATCCAAGAATCAATGTGTCTTCCTTCCCTGGCATTCAGAGTGAGGAACACAGATTAGACATAGAGGATTAACACAGGAGAAGTTTGTGGTAGTGGCTATTGCCTTCAGGGCAAAGAGGATTTAACTGCAACTTACAAATAAAATTTCATTTGACAGATTATTTTGGGATCATCACAGGACCCTCCCAAACGGTGAGCCTACCCTCGAAAGTGACCAGTGAGAACCCATCCCTGTGTTTTAGTGTTTTTTAAGATTGCTTGAAGCACTGGTGGTATCTGTCCTGCTCAAAATGCTTTGATTTTATGAGGAAATAGAGAAAATCGGATCCTTAAACTCCACTCCCTAAATGTGAACTGAATAGCGGAGCGCCTATATGCTACTTTTTCACAGTGGTGCTTCCATGGAGACTTCTTTCCTTGCTCAACCTGGATCCAGCTGAGCTGTTTCTTTTGCTCTCTTAACTCTAAAATGTACTTATGCTTGATCAATACAGATGACATGAAGGACTATTGAGGTGCTTGTGTAGAATTTGAGTCTTTTATTCCACCTGAATGAATATACTCTGTTTTTATTAGCAGTTTTGTCTTGAATTTGAAACTCTGGGAGGCAATTCTTTTTGTACTTAGACATTTTTGATTGAGGAAGAGAGATGCAGATAAAAGCACAATTATTCTTAAAATTGTTTTTAAAAATCTTTTTGATGCCTGACGTTACCAGAGACTGAAAGTGTTTTAACTCACACACACTCAGTGGAGCATGCAGTCATGACTTATTATATTTTAAGATTGTCTCAGTCTGGCACCAGAATTTTAGAAATTTTTACACTTGCACATTTGCTAATCCCAAGAAAATTTACTTATTTTGATGCCAAGATTTGATTAAGAACAGTTGTAAGTCCTTAAGGGTACCCAGAATGTATAAATATAGACACCAATCTAGGCAGTTTAATGATTGCTTTACAAGTTCCAAAAATCCAAAGGCAGATGGCATATTCAGATTTTATTTTGATTTCAGTTTTCCCTTATAATTCACTTTAGTCCCTATTTTTTAGATCTCCTCTCTATACCTAGCTGTGTACTAAGAATTGCACAGATTATAGGAAAAAGGGACCATGTCTCCTGCCTTCAGGAAGCTGAAAATCTAGTCTTAAAAATTACATTTAATGTGTAAAACAGAACAATGTAAGAATAAGGAAGCATCTAGATGGGCTGACATGGGAAGATGGCTTAGACTCCTAAGGCCAGCATCTCCTACCTCCAGGGAAGTGTAGGTCAAAGATGAACCTGTAGCCACATGTCTGCTGTACTGTTTGAACTGCTGGAGCCCATCTTCTACCGCCAGCTGCAGAGAAATGCCTCGTGGTCTGAAACAACCTTCTCTTGGTAACATGCGGAGCTCTGAGATACAGGTGTGCAGCCTGGCAAAGTTCCCTTTCACTTGCTGCAGAGAAAAACGAATCAAACATACAAATATTTAGTGATCCAGGTTTCAGATTAATTGGGAGTTCAACTTCATTACCATTTACTCTTCAGGAGTCCCTTTTCTTCCTAAAAATCTGTTTATTTGACCAACATTAACTGAATGCCTGCTATGCCTTTTACTCCATTTCTATTTATGAAGTCCCATAGAAGCAGTTTGATTTTAGCTGCTAAGTCCAGCAGTACACTTTCACTGTTCTACATCAGGGATATACTACCAACTCTCCAGCCCTATGTCATAATTTAGTTCACAGGGATCTGGATCACCTTTCCCTTCCACAAGATGTCACACTGATCCATTACATTAATGACATTATGCTAATTAGGCCTAGTGAGCAAGAAGTAGCAGCTATTCTAGATATACTGGTAAGACATTTGTGTGACAGAAGGTAGGAAATAAATCTGACTAAAATTCAGGGGCCTTCTAACTTGGTGAAATTTCTAGGGGTCCATTGGTGTGGGGTATATCGAGATACCCCTTCCAAGGGGAAGCAGTTTGTCGCTTTTGGAGTAGAGGAGAGGATCTAAGTTTCATCTTCCTGCTTTTAGTTCAACCTTCATTCTTACCTCCAGAAGTACTTGGTTTTGCCAATTCCAAAGCCTTTTGAGGACTTAGTGGGGTAACTTGCTTTCTTCCCTGGCTTTCCCCACTACTGGCTTAAGATTTAGCATTCTTGGAACTGCTAAGTCGATGATCATTTGTTCACCTGTACATAGTTTCAGAAATTTTGTTGTGACTTTTTCTTCTCTCATTACTTTTTTCTTAAGAGTTTATACTGTGAGGGCAGAGACTTCTAGTTGTCCCTCAATATTTACCCTCTTCCTCTAGGTACCAAAACTGTCAATTTTTATGTGGGCACTATGACTATCTGGAATGACTGCATTTCCCAGACTCTCATACACCTAGGAGTTTCAGCGTGGTTAAGTTCTAGCCAAAGTGATGATAGTAAGCAAAGTGATGGGAGCAACTTTTGATTTTTTTTTTTTTAAAGGGCATGGGAGTTTTCTTTGCTTGTTTTCCTTTCCTGATTGCTGGAATACAGGCATAAGAGTGGCCAGCTTAGACCACAAGATAGCCAAATTAGAGCACTATTAGTCCTAAAATCTCATTGTAGGTAATGTATGATTTAAATAACTTCTTTGTTATTATCAGAAGATAAAAGAATGGGTAAGATAACTGTGTGGTACTAACTGGAAATATCAGGGGAACATTTTGTAAAGCATATGATTATCTAACCACTATGTTGTACACCTGAAACTAATACAAAATAATATTGAATGCAAACCCCAAAAAATAAAAAAATAAAGAATTGGTAAGATCTTCACAGTAAGGGAATTCTTCTGAAACTCTGCTTTGAGAGAAGATTAATCACTTTGGTCAGATTTATTTATATTAAGGTCAAAATGGATATAAAAGGAATTCTAATATTTTAATTATGATTCCTCTGTCATGATTCCTTATAAAAAGTTCAGGATTATTTGATTATGCTCAGAAATTAAATATGAGGAGTTATATTGAGGTTTTCATTTTGGGCAAGATTCCTACTTGCTATCTTTCTCCATTTATATTTTGAGATAACTCTGCAGATAGAAAATGTCAGATACTTATACAGGTCAGAGACAATGGGTCTAAAGTAACATTTTTCCTTAAACAAAAATGTAATTGTTCTACCCATAAGGTAATGTCATTGTTCCAGTGCTTTTCTTGAGCTTTTAACCAGGGTTGAACTTACTGTTCTTTTGGGGAAAAAAAGTGGCTTGCAATTTTTCCTGATACCAGTCAGAGGTTTTTAGTCTAGAATGGCCTGACTCTCCTAATAGAGTAACTAAGGGAATCAAGGGAGTCACTCAAAGCCAGATGTACTGAGGAGTGCCAGATGCATATAACATAGTCACTTGAGGAGGGAAAAAATTCCTTTTACCTTTGTTTGGGACAAAAGGCTCTTTTCTCAAAAAGCCTTTTATGCTGGATATCTTCCATTTGTCCTTCCAGGTCACTCTCTACTTTTCTCTACCCATATTGCCTGACAGAAGATAGATATCACAGCCAAATGGTCATGGGACAGACATGTGCAAGGAAAATAGCACAACAGGGGAACATATCTGCCACATGGCCATAAATATCAGAATCACTTTCACTCTGTCCTTAGTACACTTGTAGGTCATATAATCAGTGGATTATATACAATGAGAGTTATACATTTTGTTTACCCATTTACCAGTTAATAGACATTCTGATTGTTTACAGTTTGGGGCTATTATGAATAATGCTGCTATAAATATTCATGTACATTTATTTGTGTGAATGCATGTTTTCATTTCTGACTGATAGATTCCTGGAGTGGAATTGTTGGGTTATAAAAAATATATATATTTAGCTTTTTAAGAGATAGACAAACTACTTTCCAAAGTGGTTGTATCATTTAACCTCATCAGCAGTGAATGAGGGTTATAATTTCCCTACATTCTCACCAACACTTGGTATTGCCTGTCAGTAGTGCCTGTCTTCTTAATTGCAGCCATTCTAGTGAGTGTGTAATGTTACCTTTGTTTTTCTTTAACTTTTTATTTTGAAATAACTATAGATTTACATAAAACTGAAAAAATTATACATAGAGAACTTGTGTAATTTTCACTCAGTTTCTTCCAGTGATTACATCTTACATAACTAAAGCACAATTTTGAAACCAAGAAATTGACCTTAGTACAATGTGTGCATAGAGTTCTATTATCACATCTGTAGATTCATGTAACCAGCCCCTCAATCAAGATACAGAATTATCCTATCACCACAAAGCTCTCCCTCACGCTGTGCTCTTATAGTCACCTCCACTCCCTCCCATTCCAAACCCTTGGCAACCATTAATCTGTTCTCCATCTTTATAATTTTGTCATTTTGGGAGTGTTATATAAATAGAATCAATGTGTGTGACCATATCAGATTGGTTTTCCCCCCCACTCAGCATAATGCTAGAGGTTTGTCAATTTTATTGAACATTTCAAAGAATTAGCTTTTTGTTTCATCAATTTTCTGTTTTCAATTTCATTGACTTATGCTCTTTATTAGTTCCTATCTTCTGCTTGTTTTGGGTTTATTTTGCTATTCCTTTTCTAATTTCTTAAGGTGGGGAGCTTATATTACTAATTCTAAACTTTTCCTATTCTAATTTAGTGTTATAAAATGTCCTTGTCAACACTGCTTTAGCTAGATCCCATACAATTTGACATGCTGTATTTTAATTTTCATTCAATTCAACATATTTTAAAAATTTCCATTGACATTTCTTCTTTGACCTATGAATTACTTAGAAAAGTGTTGGTTAGTGTCTGAGTGTTATTGATTTCTAGTTTGATTCCATTGTGGCCAGAAAACATACTGTGTATGACTTCAATTCTTTCAAAGTTGTTGAAGTTTCTTTTATGACCCAAGATATGGTCTACTTTGACAAGTGTTCTGTGGGTCCTTGAAAAGAATGTGTATTTTCTTGTTGGTGGAGTATTCTGTGAATGTCAATTAGATCCTGTTAGCTAATATTTTTCTGCATCCTTGTTGATTTTCTCTCTAGGTATTCTATCAATTTTCAAGAGAAGGGCATTGAAGTTTCCAACTATAATTCTGGACTCGTCTATTTCTTCTTTCAGTTTTGCTTCACATATTTCAAAGTTCTGTTGTTTGGTGGTAGGTATGCATTTAGGGTTGCTATGTCTTCTTGTTGGATTGACTCTTTTATCATTACCTAATATTCCTCTCTGTCCCTGATATTCTTTGCTCAGAGTCTACTTTATTTGATATATTAATACAGCCAATTCTGCTTTGTTTTGATTAATGTTATTATAGTATATATTTTCCCATCCTTTTATTTTCAATCTATTTTTGTTGTTTTTGAAGTTAGTTTCTTATAGATAGAATATAGTTGGATCACCACCCCCCTGCCAATCTTTCTTTTAATTGGTGTATTTAGACCATTTACATTTAATGTAATTATTGGTATGTTAACCTGCCAATTTACTTGCTGTTTTATGTTTGTTTCCTCAGTTTTTCATTTCTCTGTTTTCTTTTACTTTTTTCCCTGTGAATTAAATGCTTTTTAAGAATCCCATTTTAATTTATCTAAAGTGTTTCTGAATGTATCTCTTTGAATAGCTTTTAAAAGATTGCTCTAAGTGTTACATTATACAAACATACTCATCACAGTCTACTGGTGTCAACATTTTACCAGTGAAAATGTATAGAAACCTTAACTTCCTTTAAGTCTCTTTACCTTCCCATTTATAATGTACTTATTTTAAATATTTCTCTATATCCATTAACAACCACATCAGACAATGTTATCATTTTTGCTTCAACTGTCAAATATAATTTAGAAAACTCAATAGAAAGTCTATATATTTATCCATATTTTATTATTTCCATTATTCTTTCTTTCTTCTGGGTATTCTAAGATTCTTTCTTTTATAATTTCCTTTTTGTTTCAAAAAGTTTCTTCAACCATTTTGTTTAGGTAGGTTTGCAGGTGACAGATTCTCTTAGTTTTCCTTCATCTGAGAATGTCTTTATTTCTGATTCATTCCTTAAAGATGTTTTCACTGGACACAGAGTTCTAGGTTAACAGTCCTTTTCCTTTATATTGAAAAAGGCTACACTTCCTTTGACCTCCATGGTTTCTGATGAAAATAAATCTATTGTTACTTGATTCCCCCCCACCCCCCTTTATCGGTAAGGTATCAGTGCTCTGCTTTCAAGAATTTGCCTTTAGTCTTTAGAAGTTTGATTATGATGTGTCATAGAACAGATTTCTTTGTATTTATCCTGTTTAGAACTCACCAGCCTCTTAAATATTTAGATTTATAACTTTTGTGAAATTTGGGAAATTTCCAATGATTATTCCTTTGAATATATTTTTCAGCCCTACCCTCCTTCCCCTTTTCTCTTGGACTCTGATGATGTGAATGTTAGATCTTCTGTTATAGTCTCACAGGTCCCTGTGGCTTTGTTCATTTTTTTAAAGCCTATTTTCTCTCTGTTGCTCAAATTGGGTAATTCTGATTCTATTTTCCAGTTCACTGATTCTTTCCTCTGACCTCTCTGTTCTGTTGTTGAGCCCATCCATTGAAGATTTTGGTTTTTCAAATTTTGGTTATTATATTTTTCAGTTCTAAAATTTCTATTTGGTTTTTCTCTGTACTCCTTTTATTTTGGTGAGACGTTCTATTTTTCCTTTTGTTCCAAACATGTTCATAACCGCTTGTTAAAGAATTTTTATGATACTGCTGTAAAATCTTTCCCAGCATCTGTGTCATTTCCGTATTGGCATTTGTTGTCTTCTCATTCAAGTTGAGAGTTTCCTGTTTCTTGATATGATGAGTGATTTTTAAAAATTTTTATTGTATTCTAGACATTTGGGGTATTATGTTATAAGACCTTGGATCATGTTTAAATCTTCTGCTTTAGCAGGTCCTTCTGATACTCTGCCAATGGGGACAGTGAGCTTTCCAGATAATTATTGCCAGGTGGGGTGTGACTCTATTTGGCCTCTGAATACAACCTAGAAGGGAGGGTGCCTTGTTACTTCTGGGTGAGGGTGGAAGTTCAGTCTCTCCACATGGCCCCCACTGACACTCTGGGGATGGAGAAGATTATTTACTGTTAGGTGGGCATAAAAGTCCTGCCTTTCCACTAGTCTTTCATTGACACTGCTCTGCCTTGGAAGTAAAAAGATGCTTCACTGCTGCCCCCCACAAGGCCTCCTCTGACACCACCTCAGGAGCAGAGATAACTTGTTAATGTTGGGTAGGAGGGTTGGAGTCCAGGCTCCCACAAGAATTCCATGGACACTAGGTGGAGTAGGTCTTGTTTCCACTAGGTAGAGATAAAAGTCCTGGATCTCCAGTAGGGCTTCTCTAATTATCTCAGCAGCAAGCTGCCTCTGGAAAGGGATGCACTAGAATCTCTGAAGTCTTTCTGATCCTGTGATTCTGAACTTTGCACAGGGGAGAAAGTGGTGATTTGGATTTGTTTGAGGCGAAGGAGAGATAGTTGTCTATGTGTGAGGGAGTTTTGTAAAAGCACTGCCCCGGCCCAGCCTTTGCCTTCTGAAACCCTAGGTGGAGTTTTTCTTGAGTCATGTGTGAAACTGTAGAGAACATATTTTCAGGTTTCTGCACAATTAGGGCTGTCTGAGCAAAGAAAACTGAAGCCAGGGTTAAAGGATAAGTTTTGACTAGTCACTTGAATAGCCAGAGATGTGTGAAGAAATTTGGAGACTTATTCCCCTGTGTTTGCATTTTAAAGGGGTGTGTGTAAAAGGACTCAGTTGCTTATTTTCCAGAGGTCTGTAAATGCCAAGGTTTCTCTCAGGAGTGGAGGAGGGAAAGATGTGGACTATTTAAACTCCCATATTAATAATTTTGGGGTTTCTCTTTTGCATGCAAAACTCCCTTATGAGCAGGATGTCATCTGGCTCTCTCATTGTGTTGCTTGTATTGGGTATGGGAATAGGCACATCTATTGCTGTAAGCAATAATAACTGTGATATGAAGTTTCTGTTCTAGAAACTTTATATTTGCTTTCAGGATAAAGTGAAAAAATATAGATATACTCACCACAAATGGGAGGATGCACTCATGCTGATTTTGTACCATGTATAAGCTAAAAAGGGACATGCGGCTGGGGCCCATCAAGCTGCAGGCTAGAGAGAAAAAGTTCTGCAGAGCCTCACAGAGGTGGGAGCAGATGTCAGCCCAGGACGGTAAGGAGATATGCACAATGAGAAGCCTCGGAGGTTGCTGGTAAATCTGCGTAGAAGTGGAGGGCCCTTTACTAGTAGTTCGCCCATGATACATGGCAGCCAGATCAGAGGTGGAACTGCAGCAACCACCTTGATATTCTCTACACCTATAGGGAGGAAAGACAAATCACTGGTTTTTGTAAAACTGAATTATATGCTCTGTTGAAAGTCCAAAAAGAAATCACTGGGTATTAACTCAAGCTTCTCTAGGCAGGCTATCCCTTTTTTTTTCTTTTAATAAGTGTATGATATCATTTATGTGCAATGTCCAGAACAGGCAAATCCATAGAGAAAGTAAGTTAATGGTTGCGAGAAGTTGAGGGAAGAGGGAAATGGAGAATGACTGCTAATGGATGAAGTGTTTCTTTTAGGGGGATGAACATTCTGGGACTATAGAGCGTAATGGATGCCCACACTTGTGAATATAGTAAAAACCACTGATTTATACACCTTAAAAATGATGAATGTTTTGGAAGGCTATCTCATTTTAATAGCACCCAAGGGATCTAGATATTTGCCTGTAATGCAAGGCTGAGAATGCTTAGAGATGCAGAGAACTAATAAAAAGTTACACAAAAGGCAAACTTCAGTCCCAGAGTAAGCTATATCCTTCATAAACTTTGTTTCTTTATTAGCATTTATTGTGCTGTATAGTAATTTGTTTCTGTGACTCTCTCTCCCACTATATTGTGAGTTTCCTAAAGGTGGAGAACCTGTTTTGTCAACTTTATCAGTGCTCAGCACATTGTTTTGTTTTTTTTTGGTACACAGTAATTCTTAAAAATGAAAATATGACCATATTTTCCCCTTCAAGACCCTTAATGACCCTTCATGACATGACCTTCAGCTTTATTGGTCAAATTCCCAGAAAAATATATCTAACTAATACTAAATTAAAAAGATTTAAAAACCTAAAGACTATAACCACTGAAGAAATTTAACTGGAAGTCAATTATCTTCCCACAAGGTAAATGACAGTCAGAGGATTCCACTGACGTGTTCATCAAACTCTCAAAGATCAAGAATTTCAATCTCAATTTCTTTCAGAGAATAGGAGAGGGAACATTGCTCAATTTATTTTACTAGGTTTGAATAACTTTTGCTATCAAAATCAGAGTAGTATAAGAAAAAAATTATAGAATAATCTCACCCATGAACTTAGATGTAAAAATTCTAAACAAAATATAAGCATATTGACGCCCTGGCCAGTGTTCTCAGTGGTTAGAACATTGGCCTGAGCATCGAAGGTTTGACGGTTCTATTCCAGGTCAAGGGTACGTATCTGGGTTGTGGGTTCCTGCCTCGCCCCCAGTAGGGGTGCCTGTGGGAGGTAACCAGTTGATGTGTCTCTCACATTGATATGTCTCTCTGTCCCTCCCCCTCTCCCTCCCTCCCTCTCTCTCTGAAAAGCAATGGAAAAATATTCTCAGGTGGGGATTAACAACAACAACAACAACCAACAACATATATAAGCAAATCGAAAACATTGATACATAAAAAGAATTATGAAAGAAATAAAATTCATTGCTTGCAGATAATATGATTGCGTATGTAGAAAATATAAAAGAATTTAGTTTTATCATTTTCTTCAAAAGGTCTTCTCACATTTTTTAAAATTTTATTCTTCAAGATTTGTTATTTTTAATGTTAATTACATAACATCTTTTTAAATTTTGTTTTTAGTTTGTTGCTAATTCGTAGAAATATAATTGATTTCTGTATATTGATTTTGTACTTAACAACCTTGCTGTACTCTCTTACTAATTATGATAATTTATCTGTAGATCCTTTCAGATATATATTTTTTACAATCATATGCTCTGTGAATAATGACATGCATAAGATACATGAACAAAGTCAGATCCTAACAGCAAAAAGACTATTCATAACAGTCTTGCTCACAATTACCGCAAACTGCAAACAGCACATACACTAATCAACACTAGAATGGATAAATTATGGTATATTTACACATACAGCAATAAAAATTAGTGAACTAGAGTTACATGCAACAACATGGAGTGACTCTAAGAAACAATATTGAATAACAGAAGCGAGACACAAAAAATACAGATAGTATGACCATCTACATAAATTTTGAAAATAAGTAAAATAATTACATTGTTTAAACATGTGCACATAATGGTAAAACTGTTTTTAAAAAGCAAGGAAATAATTGTCACCAAAATTAGGGTATTGATTTTCTCTAGAAAGGAAGGAAGGTATTATGATTAGAAGGGACCAAAGGGGAGATTATTGATTTCAGAGAGAGGAAGGAGGAGGGAGAGAGGAGAAACATCAATGATGAGAGTCATTGATTGGCTCCCTCCTGCACGCCGCCTGCTGGGGATTGAGCCTGAAACCTGGCCATGTGCCCTGGCCAGGAATGGAACCTGAATCTCCAGGATCACAGGTCTATGCTCAACTGCTGAGCCACGCCGGCCAGGCAGCATTCTAGTTTTTGACCTTTACGGTGGTTACATGGGTGTTCACTTTTAATTTTTAAACTATGTTCATGTTTTATTAAATATAAAAATATTTCAAAAAGAACATTAGGACAAACATTAAAAGTATTTCAAAATATAAAATTATGTCCCAAACTCTGGGAACTAAAATTATTTTATAAAATTGTTTTATAGCTAAAGAATGCAGGGAAGATAAAAGCTTTTTTGAATTCCTCTGGGTCCAAGAGAAATATATTTATGATAATTTTCAGACACACTTTGGAATTTAAGATCTTTAAAAATGATCTAAGAGTGCATAAATAGATGTGTTCCTCAAAATGAACCTGTGAAGTTATTCCCTTTCAAACTTTTCTTTTTGGATAGTGGAAATCAGCATTTGTTCATTCAGTAATTTTTTACTGAGCTCCACTTACGTGTTGGGCAAAATGAACAAATAAAAGAATGAATATGCTAATCTGTTGAAAGCAATCTTGAACCAGAAATCCAAGTCAATGACTAAAATATTTGCCAAGAAAGCACATATCGTAAGTATCTTTTAACTATACTTTCATTTAAAGTTAATGTATGGGACCAATGTAATGCTGAACTTGAGGCTGACAGACAGGTTCACATAGACAAACAGGCACCCAGACAGAGGCCGTATTTAGTGTAGAACAAGCTTCTATTCCCCCTTGCCCATCTTTCCTCACATCTGAGAATCTTGCTGCTTTAGAGTATAGGCAGTTCTAACTCTTCATGGTTCCAACATATATACAAATCTCAAATCAAATATAGTTTAGTTAAATAAGACCAGTATCCATCAATACTTCAAATTTCAGTTACTGTAATTAAAACCACAATGAGGTATCACTTCACACCTGTAAGAATGGCTACCATCAACAAGTCAACAAATGACTCGTGCTGGTGAGGGTGTGGAGAAAGGGGAGAGCCCTGGTACACTGCTGGTGGGAATGCAGCCTGGTGCAACCACTATGGAAAACAGTATGGAGGTTCCTCAAAAAATTAAAAATGGAGCTACCTTTGGACCCAGTGATTCCACTCCTAGGAATGTATCCTAAGAATCCTGAAACACTAATCAGAAAGAATATATGCACCCCTATGTTCATAGCAGC